CTCCCATTACTAGGAAACTCACTTGGAGCCTGAGCTGCCATGGGCTACATCTGTGCAGGAGGTATTTCAGAAGCAGAAAGACACACGTGGTATATATAGGATAATCATACTAAAATCTGCATACCCAAAGAAGCTAAGCAAAAAAGGAGGACCCTGGGTAAGATGCTTAGTCTTCATTCAGAAAGACAAAGAGGATAGACACTGGAAGAGGGAGAAAATGGAAAAGGACAGGAGCCTACCACAGAGGGACTCTGAAAGACTCTACCCAGCAGGGTATCAAAGCAGATGTTGAGACTCATAGCCAAACTTTTGGCAGAGTGCAGGGAATCATATGAAAGAAGGTGGCAATAGAAAGACCTGGACGGGACAGGAGCTCCACAAGGAGAGCAACAGCAATCAAAAAAAAAAAAAAAAATCTGGGCACAGGGGCCTTTTCTGAGACTGATATTCCAACCAAGGACCATTCATGAAGATAACAGTTTGCTCTTCTGACTCTCAATTTCTCCAGTCTCTGTTGTAAGGTCTCCCTTTTTAATCTCTAACTTTATAAATTTAAGTACTTTCTTTCAAACTTATGGTTAATTCGGTTAAGCATTTATCACTGTTTTTGATTTATTTTTTTCAAGGAAACAGCTCTTGGTTTGGTTGACTATTTGTATTAGTTTTTAGTTTGTTTCTTCATTAATTTCAGTCCTGAGTTAGATTATTTCGACCCATCGATTCTTTTTTTGCTATTAATTTTTCTTCTTTTAGTGCTCTCAAGTGTCTTAATTAAGGTACAAATATTTGATAGCTCCAGTTTTATTTTTAATGTAGGCATGTGGTGCTATTATTTTTCCCATTATAACTGTCATTATTGTGAAAACATCCATCCTACCAAAAATAATATCAAGAATCAATGTAGTCACTATGAGAATTCCAACAAATTTTTTCACAGAAACCACATACACACACAAACACACAGATACACACCAAAGGAGGATAGCTAAAACAATCCTGAATTTCACCATCCTAGATTTCAAGTTTTATTCCAGACCAATAGTAATCAAAACAGCATAGTATTGGAATAAAAACAGATACAGAATTAAAGACTTAGACATACTTCCACACACCTGATTAAAAAAAAGAAGAAGAAGAAGCTTAATGTACACACTGAAAAAAAGACATCTTCAGAAAATAGTCAAACTACTTGGCAGCTTGCAGAAGAATGAAATTAGATCCATATTTGTCACCCTTATCCATATTCAACTGCAAATGAATTAAGGACCTCAATATGACCTTTAACATGGTAGAAAAGAAAGGGAGCTTATAGGCTTGGACTCATTGGCATAAGTAAAGGCTTTCTGAATAGGACACCAATACCACAGGAGCTAAGAATAGCAACTAATAAATGAGACTCCAAGAAGCTGAAAAGATTCTGCATGGCCATAAAAACCATCATTCAGACAAAGTGGCACCCTACAGAATGGAAAAAAAATTACCACTTATACATCTAATAAGAGTTATTATCTAGAATATATAAAGAATTTTTAAAATGTCAAGAAATAATTAACTCAATTAAAAATAAAGCACAGAACTAAACAGTTCTTAAATACAACACAGACGTTTGAGACATCCTCATAGAAATTTCAACATACTTAGCCATCAGGGAAATGCATATTTTAAATTACTTTGAGATATCATCTTACCTAAGTCAAATAGATAAGATTAATATAAAAAATGGCAACACACTTTAAGTGAGGACCTACAATGTGTGTCTTTCTGGGTCTGGGTTACCTCACTCAAGACAATATTTTCCAGTTAGTTCCCTCCAATTGCTGGCAAATTGCATGATGCCTTTGTTTCTAATAGCTGAGTAGTATTCCATTGTGTAAATGTACCACATTTTTTCTATTTATTCTTCGGTTGTAGAACATCTAGGTTGTTTCCAGTTTGTGCCTATTATGAATAAAGCTGTTATGGACACAATTGAAGAGGTGACCTTGTGTTATGGTGGCATATCTTTTGGGTATATGCCTAGGAGAGGTATTGCTGGGTCTTGTGTTAGAGCTACTTCCAATTTTCTGAGAAAGTGCTAGGATTGATTTCCAAAATGGTTTTACAAGTTTGTACCCCTACCAGAAATGGAGAGATGTTCCCCTTTCTCCACACCTTCAACACCATGTGCTGTCACTTGAGGTTTTTATCCTAGCGATTTTGACACATCTAAGATGGAATCTCAGTCATTTCCCTGATGGCTAAGTACATTGAGCATTTATTTTTTTTTATTAAAATTTATTTTTATATTATTGACAATTTATTCACTTTATATCCCAGCTGTAGCCCCCTCCCTCATTCCCTCTCAACCCTACCCTTACTCCCTCATCTACTCCTATGCCCCTCTCCAAGTCCATTGATAGGGGACAGCCTCCTCCCCTTCCATCTGAACATAGCCTAACAAGTCTCATCAGGACGGTCTGCATTGTCTTCCTCTGTGGCCTGGTAAGGCTGCTCCCCCCTCAGGTAGAGTTGATTAAGGAACCAGCCACTGAGTTCATGTCAGAAACAGTCATTGAGCATTTTTTAAGTGTTTCTCAGCTAGTGATACCAGTGTTTAGCTATGCACCCCATTTTAAAACTTAAGGATTATTTGTTTTGTTTATCTTTTTGGTATTGAAATTCATAAGTTCTTTATATATTTTATATATTAGTCCTCTGTTGGATGTAGGGTTGGTGAAGATCTTTCCCAGTGTGTAGGTTGTTGTTTTGTTCAATTAACAGTTTCTTTTGCCTTACAGAAGCTTTTCATTGTTGATCTTAGTACGTGAGCTGTTGGTGTTCTGTTCAGGAAGTTGTCTCCTCTGCCAATGAGTTCAAGGCTTGTCCCCACTTTCTTTTCTAATTGATTTAGTGTATATGGTTTAATGTTGAGGTCTTTGATCCACTTGAGCTTGAGTTTTGTGCAGGGTGATAAATATGGACCTATTTGCATTCTTCTATATGTAGACCTCAAATTAGACCAGCACCATTTGTTGAACATGCTTTTTTCTCCAATGTATGATTTTGGCTTCTTTCTCAAAAATCAGGTGTCAGTAGGTGTGTGGACTTATTTCTGCCCTTTGGTTCAATTCCATTTATTGAAATGTCTGTTTTGATCTAAGCCATTCTGAGGGGTGAAGGAATCTCAGACTCATTTTGATTTGCATTTTCATGATGTTGAGCATTTCTTTAAGTGTTTCTGTACCATTCTGCATTCCTCTGCTGAGAATTCTCTGTTTAGCTCTGTACCCCATTTTCAAACTGGGTTATTTGGTTTGTTGGAGTATAATTTCTTGAGTTATTTATATATATATTGGATATTAGCCCTCTGTTGGATATAAGGTCGGTGAAGATTTTCTCTAGTCTGTAGGCTGTCATTTTGTTTTGTTGACAGTGTATTTTGCTTTACAGAAGCTTTTCATATATACATATTCATATTCATATATGTACATAAATACATACATGATATGTATATGACTATATATTAATATATATGTTCCTGGTCAATTATATATATATATAGTATATATGTATATATTTGTGTATATAAATTTATACATAATTAAATATATTTATTAGGAGAGTGACTTTACCACTTTCAATGTTTGATATAATTTTATTAATTACAATTGATAATATAAAAATAAAACAAATTAACTTATTGTGCCTAGATCTTGTTATGGCTTCATTAAACACTGGCAAGTTTATGTAGAGTTCTATTACAGTTTAAATTTCCAAACATACATCAATAGTTTAGAGGGAATATATAAATCACAATTTCTAAAGTTGTTAAATCAGAGACTTTATAAATATAAGGAGCAGATTATAATGTAAATTAAGATAATGGACAATCCAATTTATATTGGACAATAGAAATAATGCAATAGGAAGCAAATGTCACCTGTGTGTAAATGGGAAATATTTGTAGAGATTCTGATATAGTTACTTTTCAGCTGTTATTGTGGTATGCTCTACACAAACAAGCTGAAATCCAGGGTGGACATGAGAAGGACCTCATCTTCTGCAATGAGCTGGGAGTGTGGTACTAGCGACTGGATGTCCCGATGGCTGTGCTGAGGCCTCTGCTACTCTCATCATTACATGGAGGGTGTAAAGGATGCTAAGTCCAGCTGAACTTTGTCATGTGTGTTATATTTTATTGGTATTATAGCAAACAATAAGGCTGAGAAATCAGTATCTGAAAAATCAGAAAACAAAAAGTAAAACACGTGAGATAAGAAGTGTCTTCCCATATGGAAGCAATAAAATGTCTTTTGAATCATATTTCAAAACGGTATCATTTAACATGTTTTTGTAGGTTTGAGTCTCATAACAGTTAAATGGTGGAACATGTCGAACTTTCCACAGCATATGATTTTCTTTAAGAAACTGGTCTCTCTTGGTCAACAAGACCCAAAGCTATTCTCAGGCACTGCAACTTGATGTAAAATATTAATCTCAAGCTTTTTATAAAAGTTTAAAAATGCTAGCATATCCTTTACCACCTGAGGTCAGTGCTCAGAATGAGGACCTTCACCATCCAGTCTTGTGAAATCCAGATGATGAGGCAATTCATTCTTGTGTATAGACTAGCAGGAAATGTTTTCATTGCTCACTTGCATGTTTTGTATTATGAGCATATTCAGGCATAATAAACATAACTAATTGGGAAAACAACAGTTGAGTTAGTAGTTTGTTATATATAAATATTTTTAGGAGCAGAAAATGGAAAAGGGAGTGAGTGGGAAAGTAGCCAATGCCTACTACAATAAGGCAACACTTGACAATGTTATAGAGACAAATTCCTCTGAGTAGTTCATAACCGCTCCTGCTCGGAAGGCTAGTTTAGTGGACTTTGGCATAAGCCAAATAGATCATTTTGCATGAAATTATGTCGGCACAAGACACACAAACAGACTACAATATAGTAATAGACTACAAAAAGCGTAGTTTGGCATTAACAGCACTGCCTTTCCTTACAGATAGTCTACATGGGATGGTGTGAAGCCCGGGAGCAGGAATCCCTCCAAGACAGGGTTTATACACCTGTGTTTCTTGCCCTGAGGGGCTCCTGTCTCTACAGGTTCCTGTCACCACCAGTAAGTGTTTGTATCCAGTGTTTGAGCTCACTGATCTGCTGATAGCAGAGCGACAACCCCGAACGACACCTGATTATCAATGCATCTTGAAAATAAGGCACAGGACATTTAGGAAATAGTTAATATCGGTCTAACATATTTTGCCAAATGTAAAGCTTTGAAGAAATTAGATCCTGTTTTTCCTGAAGAACCTGGAAAATGGAGCAAATCATAACAATGTTAAAAATTCCATGAAGATGTGGGAAAGGATTTTACTAAATGTTCCCAAATATATATCTAATAAATTGGATGAGAAAGTAAAGAAATGATGATTGATAGGCTAAGAGATTTAAATTTTTATTCTTTGTTTATGAACATCCCATTCCTTTTGTATTTGTGGACCCTTTGAGAGTTCTTAGTCTGTATTTGGAGTGTTTCATTATCAGCATTAAGTTTTCAACTTGTATTTAAATCTACATTGACTCAAAATAATCCGTTGATAATGAGTAGGTATGTTAAGTCAAATTCTATGATGGTAAAACTTTAAAATGATGAGCAGTTGTGATGGCACAAGCCTGCAGTCTCTGAGTTCGGGAGATTGAGGCAAGAAAACCAGGTGTCCAAGGCTAGCCATGTGTAAACAGTGAGTCCATGTCTCAAAACAAGCTACTATAACACAACAAAACAACAGGAAGTGTACAAATCCCACAATTTTTTATATTATTATTGGAGAAAGGAGAAATATATTTTTGGAGGCTACATTAGCTTTTCTTGCAGTAAAAAGTATATAGATAGATATTCCACTAAATAAAAAAATATATATTTATCTCGTCTCACAGTGTCACATGACTATGTGACCCTGTTGTCCAGGCTTAAAGCAGCATATGCAGCATGGTTGGAGTACATACCAGGAGAGGATGCTACTTATGGCAGTAAGGAGATAGAGAAAAGAAAAGGAATTGGGACATTAATACCGCATGGAAGCTCATGCCCCTGCTGACCTAAATGTCCTTGCATCATAGCCCACCATATAAATGTTCTGCCATGTCAAAAAATAGAGCAGACCAGAGACAATCATTCAGTACACTGGTCTGTGAGAATATTTGATCTCATCTACAGCAGTAAAGATTTCCATACTCTGCAGTTCTTCTGGAATTAATTACTTTGTAATATATTCTGTTGTGTACCTATGTACACTAAATATGACTGCACAACTATTTTCTTGAAAGCCTTGCTTTGGAAACATGTAACCTACAGAGAAGTAACACCCAATAAATATTTATTGACTATAAATACGAAATGCCATGCTGCTCACTGCCAAGTTTAATAATATAAAGGACCTGGGAGTTCTCTGTGTCATTACTATTTTTAATGTTTATGCCTACACGAAATTCATAGAACCAATAAGAAAAAAATACAATGTGTGTATATCTTGTTATATTTCTACACTGAATAATTTCTTCTGCTTGGAGAGATGAAATAAGTAAGGAAACTCATTCCACAGTGGAGTAGACATCTTCACAATATCTTAACAATCCTAGAATGGTTTTTAAATATCAATAACTTATTTTTCATAATAGAAACCAAAGTTAATGCCTTATGTTCCTCTCTGAATCTTACTAAGAAAAACATGTATTTAGTACATGCATACTTAATATCTGTGTTTAAAGAACACACAAAATCATTTGAAACACATAAAACATTTTTAACAAATGGAAATTGCTACAGACAACACAAATTTTCCTGAAAAGAGGAAGCCAAATGCAGATAATTTTTTAATAAACCCTTTCATGGTATGAAAAGAACTTCCGATGAACTACCTCATTGATGGAGAGACTAAAGAAGCACTTATGTGAAAGTCTCATTTTCCAGATGAAAGAGATTGAAGCCAAAAGCCTTACTGGAACAAATGATATGTTATTTTCTGTCTTTTAAAGGTGACCACTTGGGACTGGACGCGAGCAGAGAAAACCTTCTCTGTGTGTGAGATCATGTGCAAGGTTCTCAAGGTATGTGCAGTAAAGACAATCATTTCTATGGAATGTCTTCTGAGGAGTGGTGATCTGAGCTCATGAACAGCTCATGAAAACAACTAACTCATGATTAGAAGATGAAGAAAAAAAGTAAAATAAAAAAATAAGGGAGGGGTACTGGGAGTAAAAAAAAAGCACAGATATTTAGAAAGTAAGTCTTTGAAATTAAAAACATGAAATCAAATGTAGAAAGCACTTGTTTGCTTTGCTTAGAAACCTGACAATCACTGTGTATCACAGGTGAGTTAATTTCTGTGTGACACAGAACTCTCACAAGCATTGAGTCATCAGGAATTCTGAAAAACGGACATGGCTTACACAGAGTATAGTAAGAACTAAAGTGGGTTATTTGAAAGAAACATCAGTGCATGTTTTCTTTGAAAAAAAAATAATGTACAGATTTAATGTCCACAACATGACGCTGTGGGGAACCATGTCAATATGTTATACAAAATGAAAGGATACTAACAAGAAGTAACCCTGCACAGTCTTCCTTTCACATGTTAGTTGTTTTCCCCTTTGAGTCAAGAACAGGTGAGATTCTATATTGCTCTTCTAGATTTTCTCATCCTGTATATCTGACACTTTGTAGCCGCTGATCTACATCTGCCTGGTTCTCCCCCCACCACCACCACCACACCTGTTCCCCTGCTCTTCATTCCTGTATACTTAAATTGAACTTTTGATTTTTATTTTTTGTTAGGTCCCAAAATGAAAGATGTTTGTATATTCTTCGATCTAACTCATTTCATTCATCCATGTTATGATAGATGGCTGCTAGGGCTGAATAATATTCCACTTTGTTTGCGTCCTGCAGTTTGTGTGTGAGTTTGTCTTTTAGCACTCTCTACCGTAGCTTCCATATCCTGGCTATCAATGTCTTCATCCAGTAATGATTAGATTTCCTATGGTATATGCCCAGAGCAGAAATGCTGGCTGGGTTGTATTACTGTTTCATTTCTAAATCTCATAGAAATATGTATACTATAGCTTGCAATGGGTATTTTGATCTAATTCTCTACACAGCTGAATTAAGTGTTTGTTTTTCCCAACCCTGAGTAACAGCTATTGTCTTTCCCCCTTTTGAAAACAGCCATGCTACATGGTAGGAGGTAATAACCTCCAAGTGGTTTAGATGTAAATTTCCCTGATTAGTGATGTTGATCATTATGCTATGTGTCTGTTGGCCAGGATTTTTCTTCTTTAGAGAAATGATTATTCATGTCTTTTGTCTTATATTTTAAATTTCATTGAGAATTTTACATTTTTAATATAAATTTTTATTTATTACAATTTATTCATTTTGTAGCCCAGCTGTAGCCCTACCCTCTCTCCTTCCCAATCCCACTTCTTCTCTTTCCCTCATCTCCCATGTCTCTTCCCCAGTCCACTGATAGTGAAGGACCTCCTCCCCTTCTATCTGACCTAGACTATCAGGTCTCATCAGGGTTGTCTTTCACAGTTTTCCTCTGTGGCCTGGTAAGGATGCTCCCCATTCAGGGGGAGGTGATCAGAAAGCCAGCCACTGAGTTCATGTCACAGACAGGCCCTGTTCCCCTAGCTAGGGAGCCCATTTGGAGACTGAGCTGCCATGGGCTACCTCTGTGCAGCAGTTTTAGGATATCTGCATGGATGGTCCTTGTTTGGAGTATCAGTCTCAGAAAAGACCCCTGGGCCCAGAATTTTTGGTTTTGTTGCTCTTCTTGTGGAGCTTGAGATCCTTCCAGGTTTTTCTTTCTCCCTCTTAATGCATAAGATTCCCTACACTCTGCCTAAAGTTTGCCTATGAGTCTCAGCATCTGCTTTAATACCCTACTGGGTAGAGTCGTTCAGAGGCCCTCTGTGGTAGGCTCTTGTCTTGTTCCTTGTTTTTACCTTCTTCTGATGTCTGTCCCATTTTCCTTTCTGAATGAAGAATAAGCATCTTACCCAGGGTCTTCCTTCTTTCTTAACTTCTTTAACTGTACAGATTTTAATATCATTATTCTATATTATATGTCTAATATCCACTTATAAGTGAGTATATATCATGTGTGCCTTTATGCTTCTGTGATACCTCACTCAGGATGATCTTTTCTGGTTCCAACCATTTGCCTGCAAATTTCATGATTTCCTTGTTTTTAATTGCTGAGTAATATTCCATTGTGTAAATGTACCACAATTTCTGTATTCATTCCTCAATTGAGGGACATCTGGGTTGTTTCAGCTACATGTAGAAAAATATAAATACTAATCATACTAATCACCATGCATAACTCTAAAGTCCATGTGGATCAAAGACCTCAACATAACACCAGACACACTAAACATGTTAGAAGAAAAAGTGGGGAAGAGCCTTGAGCTCATTGGCACAGTAGACAACTTCCTGAAGAGAACACCAACAGCACAGGGTCTAACATCAACAATCAGTAATTGGGACCTCATGAAACTGAAACATTTCTGTGAAGCAAAGGACAGTGTTGTCAGAACAAAATGACAGACTACTGACTGGGAATGAATCTTCACCAACCCTATATCTGACAGAAGGTTAATATCCAAAATATATAAAGAACTCAAGAAGTTAAACAGCAACAAATCAAGTAATCCAATTAAAAAATGGAGTACAGTGCTAAACAGAGAATTCTCAACAGAGGAACACTGAATGGCAGAGAAACACTTAAAGAAATGCTCAACATCCTAGTCATGAGGGAAATGTAAATCAAAACTATTCTGAGATTTCACCTTACACCTTTCAGAAAGCTAAAATCAAAACTCAAATGATATTGCATGCTGGAGAGGATGTGGAGAAAGGGGAACCATACTCCAGTGCTGGTGGGAATGTAAACTTGTACAACCACTTTGGAAATCAATCTGGCTCTTTCTCAGACAATTAGGAATAGAGTTATCTCAAGATCCAGCTATATCACTCCTAGGCATACATCTAATATGCTCAAGTATGCAACAAGGACATTTGTTCAACCATATTCATAGCAGCTATATTCATAATAGTCAGAATCAGGATACACTTTTTTTTCATTGTGGTTTTTAGAAACATCTTCTTGGGGTACACTGTGAAAATGTATGTGAAATGTGTGTAGTTATCAAATAAAGACAAGTATTCCCATCTTTAATTTATGAGTATTTTGTGTATATCCAACAGTAATATATGAGTTGAAGAGTTTAAATTCTCTTTCAGGATTCTATATTAGATGTGCTCACACATACGCATCTCTAGTCACAGCACACAGGAGAGAGAGGCAGATGAATCTTTGTGGATTTGAAGCCAGTTTTGTCTACATAGCAAGCTCTAGATCGTTCAGGGTCATGTAGTGAGACTGTATTAAAAAAGATCAGTGGACTTGGCAAGGGGCACGGTGGAGATGAGGGAGGGAGGGAGGGACTGGGAGGGAATGAGGGATCGGGACACGGCTGGGAGTTAATAAAATGTAACTGATAAGAAAAAAATAAAATTCAAAAAAAAATCAGGATTCTTGAAATGCTGCATAGACTCTTTTATGCAGGACTCATCCTGCTGTGCTATAGCAAAGCTTTAAAGATTTCTCAACCTCTTCTCTGAGCTCTGGTGTTGCTTACATTTCTGTTCCCTTCCTTCTTGTGCTTCTTCGTCTCTAGTAACAGCTATTCAGGTCTGTGTTTCCACTAGTTTTATGCAGGATAGAGAATTTGCAGCATTTGACTGATGAGCCTGTCTCACATCAGTTGGTGTAACACTTTTCACTGCCATCCGTCCTTTGCAAATTTTTATTTAATACTTCCCTACAGTTTAAGAAAACCTCAGGGTATATATGCATTTAGTATTCATTCATCAACTGGTGGGCATCTAAGCTATTTTTAGTACATCGTCATCTTAAATATTTTAGTAAGGAACAAGAGTGTTCAAATGGCTTTGTAGTGAGATATGAAAACCTATGTGTGGGTGTGACCCTAGCAGTGGAATAGCTAGGCAGCGTAGAACTTTCTTCTAGAGTTTGGAGAATCTTCAATGCCAGGTTCGATAGGAGCCATGCCAGTTTACACACCCATCAGTGGTAGATACAAGTTTCCCTTTTCACAAAACTTTTTCCAGATTTGATCTCCCAGTGATATCCATTCCATCTGGTATGAGGTAAAAACTCAAGGTAGTTTTCATTTGTATTTCTTTGGTGGCTAACGATCTTGAATATTTTAAAAATATTTACTAGCTATTTATAGTTCTTCTTTTGAGAACTCTCTGGTCAATTTCTTTTCTTTCCTTTTTTTCATTAAAGAGGTTGATTTCACTTATTGGCTTTGCTTGGTTATGTATTTTCACCTTTTTCCTTAATTTTATTTCCTTTTTAATTTTTTTATAATTTTTATTTTTTTATATTAATCACAGGTCATTTACTTTGTATCCCAGCTGTAGCTCCCTCCCTCATTCCCTCTCAATCCTACCCTCTCTCCCTCATCTCCTCCCTGCTCCTTTCCAAGTCCACTGATAGGGGAGGTCCTCCTCCCCTTCCATCTGACCTTAGCGTATCAGGTATCTTCAGGACTGGCTGCACTGTCCTCCTCTTTGGCCTAGCAAGGTTGCTCCTCCCTTGGGGGGTGGGAGAGTCATAGATCCAGCCATTGAGTTCATGTCAGAAATAGTCCTTGTTCCCCTTACTAGGGAACCCTTCAGTTTCATAGTCCCTTTTTATTTTTAAATGGGAACAGGGACTGTCTCTGACATGAACTCAGTGGCTAGCTCTTTGACTGCCTCCCCCTGATGGAAGAACAGCCTTGCCAGGCTACAGAAGAGGACAATGACTCGGTTCTGATGAAACAGGATAAGCTAGGGTCAGATGGAAGGGGAGGAGGACCTTCCCTATCCGTGGACTTGGAGAAGGGCATAGGAGGAGATGAGGGAGGGACAGTGGGATTGGGAGGGGATGAGCTAGGGAGCTACAGCTGGGATACGAAGTGAATAAACTGTAATTAATATAAAAATAAAAATTTAATTTAAAAACTGCCAG